CACGTAAATACAACAACCGCATTAATTGTGCTATATTGGAGGATTTATCCCATATATGGTACATATAAGCATATAAATTTATATAATAATGCATATACAATGTGCAATTATTAGGTATAATATACAAGCATATATAACACTAATTTGCTGATATACGTTAGAGGCAAAGATGTGCATAATTATATATAGTATTTTAGCCAATAAACCAAAAGAATATACAAATGTTAAGTTCCATATAGAAAGAAGACACATATATACCTACACGCAGCAGGCAACTAGAGGAAAGAATAACTGAAATAGTGTATTTTAAATATCGCCATACATACTTTATATGTATATAATATGTTATACAAAATTTCGGGTGTTAAAAAGTAAGTAATTTTTTTTATATCGAACATATTTCATAAAAGAGTTTAGTGACAGTATCAGCTTTTTTATTTTATTACTGAATTCATACATTATTTATTTTCATTCACTCAAATTTAAATTTAAGCTTTTTGTAAGCAAAGAGCTTTCATGGTAGCTCCAAATTTTTTAAAGAGCTTTTTCTACTTTTGTGTTGAGCAAAAAGTCTCAAGCTGGCAAAATAGAGTCAATTTCACAAATTGTAAAGTGAAAGCTTAGATATGCTTTCCCGCCGCTCTCGAACAAGCGAATAAAACGGAAATCAGAAAAGATGCGAATTTTTTCTTCGAAACTTCTGATTAACTACAGAAATACATTTTCGTAGACAGTCACCTTTCCAGATAATGTGTTGAAAGCTCTGTCTTCGTTCGTAAAGGGTTTAGTAACCGTCGGGTACTAATTTCAAAGAATTTCAGTAACTAACGTTCAACACATACTCTTTTCCCGAGTTGTGAAAACACTTCAATTCTAGCCAAACCTCGAGCAACCTCGTGTAGCTCGACTGGGCTACTATTGATATTTTCGCTTTTTGGAGCAGTAACAATTTTGCAGTGATTTTACATACCTTTATATAATAGTAAGAATTTCGTTTAAAAATCGAATCAATTGTGAGTACATAAATCACAGTCGGCTCACTACTTTCTTAGTGCATATATCTTGTAAAGTGCTGTGTCCAATCAAGAGGGCTCATTTCAGATGGAAAAGTTTATCCTTGAAGCTAATTTCATTGTAACAATCAAACGCTTTTATAACTTCAAAGCTCGTACGGCTAAGCTTTCGTATGAAAAAATTAAAACTACAGTTTATTTCGGTTTGCAACTTTATTTGAGGCGTTCAGCTTTGCCTATAACATAAATAAGTTTCTCGTCCCATGGAGCTTCAAGGAGCTTTTCAAGCGCGCTTTTTTACATATTGTCATGTGTACATCCCCTGTGCATATTCAATGTAAAAACGTGAACTTTCACTACTTCCAAAGCAAACATGCTTTCATATAGAGCAGTTAAAACTCGGATTTGCAACGATTTCAATCTTTTTTGGTAACTCTTCCAGCCTTAGGGAGCTTAGAGAAGCTTTTTAAGCACATCGATTCGCATATTATGCTTTGCGTAATCACATAACAATGTTTCGTTGCAAAGAGCTCTAAATTTGAAAGCTTGAAACTTTTTTGATAACTTTTGTTGCATTAGGGAAGTTAAGAAAACTTCTTAGGCACACCTATTGGGATATAATGCTGAGTGTAATCATATAATAACATTTGTTGGAAGAAGCTCAAACATATTCTACTTTCAAAGCTCAGAAAATATAGCTTTCATCTCAGCGAAATAGCTAAAACTCAGATTGGCATCTATTTTGAGGAATTTAACTAGTAATATGTTTATTTCCTGCGTAGTATTTTAATTTTAATTTTCGTCATAGCATAACAGCTAGTAATAAAATACTAAAAACCGAACCGTAATTCTCCAAACCATTGGCTCTTCAACGTAACGTTCCTTTAAGAAAGCATCGGCATGTTAACTGAAAGTGTTCCATAATCACTACTAAAATATTATACTACTATACTAATCCAAAGTACTTGCATACATATTTACTAAGCTCTTAGTTAATTAATTAATACTATGTATGTGTGCAATAGTAGTGAATTCATTATTTGATTTTTATGATTCTTTTTTCACTAAAATAAATATTTATGCATTCACACCTACGAAGATTATCATAACCACATATGCACAACACGATATTTACACATATACTTACATAACTAAAAGCAAAATCAATACATACATATAGTAATAGAATATATACTAGTAAAGCAAGAAGAAGAAGAAGAAGCAGCAGAATTATTTTAAGTACTTTAGTCAATTTAGTAAGATTTGAATGGTAGTAACGGTAGTGTAATTGAATAGGCGAGTAGCTTACAAGTGCTATAGCAGTAGATGAATCCCAGAGCAGATATGCTGAGTGACGACGGGCAGTCATTTAAGATGATTAA